CCGCAGCCCGCGCTCTCATTGGCTGAAGCGTGCCAGGCCTTCCTCCCAGGGGCGCCTGCGCGCAGCCCGCGACTCGGGTTAAAACCCTCTCGTGCACCCTGCCCCGCGCTGACGTCGGCGCCCAGGTGGTCGCCCCGCGTTCTTCGCCGCTCTGAAGCCCTCGCGCTGCTGCTTTCTTACCGCCGGGCCCGGAGGGAGCTCCGCGTGCTCCGCGCAGAGCTTTAGGACGCGCGAGTGAGCACCGCGATGTATGAAGGACTGGGCTGGTGGGACTCGGAAGTGATTGGGCAGCAGGTGGCGAGACATGGTCCGAGACTCGGTAGATGGGGCGGGGAACGAAGGGCGACTGAGCACGCGCTCCGGCCTGGAGCTGGGGGACGGGAGGGGTGGCGGTAGAGGGCGCGCATGCGCCGGCCCCCCCCCAAACCCTCCCAACACCCAGGGGACCCGAAGACGGGGCTCCGGCTGGTCCGCGGAGCTTTCGGACTGTCCAGATTTTACAGGCCTTATTGCTGCATGACCTTTGGCTGTCCTTACATAAATATACCTAATTTAAAAAAACTTTTCTCCGGTTTGCATTTTCCTTTGACTTTGGCTATTTTCAAACCTTAGGCATTCTCCACTGCCAGCTTGGGTTTTTGTTATTAGCTATATTTTGCTCCTGTGACTTTGATTACGCCTAGAAACTGCCACAGGTGAATTTAGGCAAATGGAATAACCGCTGTTTTCCCTTTTCTACCTTTTCGCATTGTTGACTGAGGCAAAAAAAAAAAAAAGCCTCCATTTGATAGAGCCCTAAGAGCTTTTGATTTCTCACTAGAAACAATCTGATGATCACTTGTGCGATCCATGCTGTTTTTTCCCTAAAAGCTTCATTTATCATCTCGCGTCTTCATCCTTTCAGATGCTATTCTGCCAACATCTAAACAGTCTCATATTTCTCTAATTCCTCTCTTTGGGTTTTAGTTACCACCAACGGAAAAGACTAATTTATAATTGCCCGTTTACCATTCTCCGCTTGTCTTCAAAGCGTACTACCACCTCAAACTGACGGTAGTACTTCTCCAAAGCTATTTTATTTTCTAGGTTCCGCATTTAAGTAATTGCAGTAATGGTCAGTCACCCAGTTTGTTCAGATTAGAGAACTGACCATCTTTCTTGACGTCTCCCACCTCACTTCCCACATCTCATTCATTATAGAATTCATTTCATTCATCATAGGCATTTTGCTGAGTGCTAGGAATTAACTTTTTTAGTCTTGTGAGGTTATAGACTTATTCCAAAGGCGTTGCCATTACCATATTTTGGGAACTCCTTTAAGAAGTATTTTCAGTTTCGTTAGTCATGATTTAGCCTTTTATTATCGTATTAAGACTTTTTCTCTATATGATTTAAAATTATCATTTAAAGTATCAAATCTAAAGTATCAAAATTAAGGATTGCGGATGACCACCTTAGAGAATGGCTGTTTCAGATTCTGAAGCTGACTCAGAAAAGGAGTTTTAACTTCCTAAGATGATTTAAAAGGAATAATTCTTAAAAAAAAAAAAAAAAAGGGAACGATCCTTGTTTGGATATTTAAGTTCTGGTATATTTGTTAAAAATACTGTTTTCTTTAGTCATACCTAATGTAACATACAGAAATTACAGAATTTCAAAATACATATAGTATTCAAGATACACTAAAGAAAAACTATTCACAGGATAAATTTTTTTTGGTATAACTCAGGAAGTACTCAGGAATTAGTGTTGAGTCATTTTTCAATATTATTTTACTATTCTATTTTACAGATGTGTAATAGGCTTTAGAAATTGGACTAAGTATACAGTCAACCTATTTCATACTCCTAAAAGTTTCTCTGAAAACTCCAGTTACTTGCTTACATATTTTCCCTTTTATATCCCTCTCTTATTGAATGCTGCAAGATATTCAGTTCATGATTTTCATGGGATTTCAAAATAAATAGGGATTTTCCATATTTAGGCTTACCTAAATTAAAGAGAAGTCAAAAAGTAATCTGAAAAATCACTTCGGTGTGGCTAAAACCATTACAAACTATATGTCAATCAAAATTTTTAGTGTTTGAAAATTATTAATTTACTATAAATCAATAAAAGGCAAAAGCTGAACATAGTGAAAACCATCTTTATAAAGATTGCCTTTTATTTTCAACAATGATTACTTAAAAAAAAAAAAAAAAAGCCTTTATAAACTAATGGTTATTGAAAAGCCAAACCTTTCCAGCCCACTTCATGTTCTCTTTCAACCACTTCAGGGCAGAACAATGTTCCAAGCTATAAACCTGTTCCTTATTAACATTGACGGTCATGTGCTTAATGAAAAGCTTTGGATCTGATAAACGAGCAGCCATAATTAATCTTTCCACAGCAGCCTGATAATCATCCTTGCTCCGAGATTTGTTTTCTTCACATCTACAAAGTTAACAATTCACGAAGTCAGAACTCTAAAAAGCAGCTCTATAGTTACAAAAGACAGTTGTTTTTATTGATTAGTACTAAGCTATGACAGTCTTTTCACTATATTCTTCTACCAGGGTTTTTCAAACTCTTTTGACCACACGTAGTAAGAAAGATGTTTTACACTGTGATCCGATATACACCCTCATAATAAAAACAAAACTCTGACAAAACAACATGTACCCTTATGACAGTGTACTCTATTTTCTATTCTCATTTCTTCGTAACGTGGTTGGAACCTCGTAACTTGATTTCACCACACAAATGGGCTACGACCCGCAGTTTGAAAAACACTGATCTAGAACTCAGCTAACAACCTCAATCTTTGTATTTTCGAAGTTAAAAATCACATAATTATTCATTATAATGCATAAAAATATTGAATTTAATTAAGTTTGGAGTTAGACATTCATGTTTTACCCTGATATGGCCTATTTTTAATTATAAACATTTAATATATAGTTAACATTTGGTAACAAATTATAGCTATAATTCTTTACTAATAATTTTGGTTATTTTTCTTCAGTCCTGATTTGAGGTACTTCACAAAGTACTAGAATTTGTTTTTCTAATACCTTTTATACTAGTCTCCAAATTTCATAAAATGCATGCCTTATGGCTGTTTTTCCTATGGGATCGGGAATGGGAAGTATTTAGAGACGTGGCTGTTTAATAGTAAACACTTTTTTGTTTGTCGTGTCCTCTCAGTACCTCGAGGGCCCAGCAGCAAGGCTGGAGGATGAGCCCACCTGCACTACCACCAGTGTCACCCATAGTGCTGGGCGTGAGGACTTCCACTTGGAACAGGAGCCAGTGGTCGGAGGAAAGATTGGTCAGGGGCCTTCTAGTACCTTCTGGCTTAGGAACTGGTGCCTGGAATCTGGTAGGCTGGGCCATGTGCCAACTATGTGCAGTTTTGGAAACTCTAAAGATAAATAAAATTCTCTCTCATGGAGATTAATGTAACAAGATGGGGCTCATAATAGAGAAAACAATATTGGTGTGGACAAAAATCAGAGATCTAGGCACGTCACTAGTTATGCACCGAGGTCACAAATACCACCAATTGAACAATGAATACAGAGGCTGCATGTGTGTGGAAAATGGAAAGGTAAGAGAAAACCAAACCCTCATTAGGATGATAGGGACCCTTGATACCTCAGCCACTGTACTGCACAGTGGTAAATAAGGGAGCCCTCAGAATAGAGCTATAATGAAAGAAAGCTAATTTTAGTTGGTTTTAAAAAGGTGGCCCTAAAACTATTTCCCAATTCTCCTCCCTTTAAGTATGAGCTGGATTAAATGACTCGTTTATCACAAGGAGTAAAGCAGAAATGACAGTGCAACTTTGGTCACTAGGGTGTCAGATGATAATTCTCTGTGGGTCTCTTGCATTTTTGGAAATTTTGGATTTCAGGATGTTTATGGAGTGGACAGTGTTGAAAGAGTCTGGAGCAGAGAGCAGCTGTGTTTACAGCCTCACAAGGCAGAGACAGTGTATTCCTGCAGAGCCATGGGGCAGTCACACTTATTTCTCAGTATGGGAGATTCTGGTTCCTGAAGTTCAGGATTCCTCTCCTGTGACAGAACCCACTGCATGTGCAGGTATCCTCTGGGCCCATATGTGGGACTTGGGAGCAAGAGGAAGAGATACAAATATGCAGATAATCCTGCTGCTTGCTATACCATGAGTAATAAAGTCCTATTCCCAACCCAGGGGCCTGATGTCTTGTGCTAGGACCCATGAAACTGGCATGCTGACTTGTAGCCAGCAAATAGGGTAAAATCTCAGAGCCTTCAGTTCTTGATACAGGTCACAAAAGCACTATAGCTTACTCCTGCTTTTTCTCTCCTGGAGTGCTTACTCTGAGAGCAGTTAGCTGTTATATTATGAAGACACTCTAGAAACCCATGGAAGGGCCCTTGTGGAGAGGAACTGAGGCTTCCTGCCAATAGCCATGTGAGTGAGCCATCCAGTAAACGGATCCTTCAGCACCAATCAAGCCATCAGGTAGGTGACTGCAGCTCCCGACCACATCCTGACTCCAACTATGTGACAGACCCTGAGCCAGAACCATTCTGCTCAGCTACTCCAATATTCCTGACCCACAGAAACAAATAATATATTTGCAGTTTTAAGCCACTAAGTTTTGGAATAATTTATATACAGTAATAGATAACTGATAGAATATTCAATCTGAGGATCTGGTTTGTAACACCAGTAAACTGAAGCAAAATTCTTGTCAAGAAGCTCTAAAACAGGAGTCCCATGAGATCTTCATAAGTTTGCTGGATAAGGCTGACAAGAAATTGGAGTGCTGTAAGCC